CCATATTTTTTTGTGACCAGTAATATTTTATTGGACATTTAGGGTAGATCTATTTTTTGACATTATCAATTCCAGGATGATGAACATCCTTATATCTGAATATTTGTCCCCACTCATTAGGTCAGGGTATGGTCCATTTGATAGCTCCGTACAGAAAGGAGGCACCCACAGCTGTATTGCTCACTCAATGGGTCTTATGTTACCATTTTTAATTTTGGATAAACTCACTTTCATCGCAACTACTTTATATGCATTTTAAGGCAGACGCTACATCTTTTACTTCTATAATCCCAAGGCCTTCCATAACACACTGTGTTCAATAAGAGGGACTAAGGAAACAAAACACAAAAACAAAAAATCCTTTATGCATACTAAAGACAACCACTGGATTAAGAAAGCATTGGGACTGTCATAATTTATAAAAATTTGTGTCCTAATGATTTTTAGAAAATAGATTCAGGGTAATTGGACAACAGTGCTAATACACACCGTATTTTGAATTATTTAAAAATAATATTTAAGTATGGAAAATACATAAATATAAGTATTTTAAAATATATGATAAAGTAGCCTACTTTTAAAAATATTTGGACTACTCGAGGGTGATCTTTATTAAATATATTTTTAGTTTTAATTTTACTAGAATTAAAATTGATGTAAACTAATCACACATTGGGTGGGAAGTTGGCTGAAAATGCTCATCTATGAAAATGTATTTTTCTGGCATTAAGGAGAAAATTCCAGATGGAAGGATCATCATAGGTCAGAGTTTATGACTCACATCATTAAAGAATTCTTGAAGAAAGGGTCAGCAGGATCTGATTTTTTTTTCTTTGACTCTCAAAAATATACTTGTTTTAGGAAATCTGGCAAGTTCAGTTAAGAATGAAAAAAGGGGAGAAGCACCACACATAATTCCATTGTCTGGAGGCAAAGACTGTTGACAAAGTAACAACATTGCAGCATACTTCCTTCCAAAATATTTCTATGTGGTGTTAACGCAAGTGTGAAGTTGAAAGTCAATAAATTTTTATCAATATTTATTGAATGTCTACTAAATGCGGGGTATGGCATTAACTTTCCTTTATTCTCCAAGGTATTTTGATGAAATTTCCAGGTATCAATATCGAAAGATGTACTTTGTGATCTCTTTTTTTTACAATAATTCAAAGGCTCACAGGCACAAAGTGTTGCATCAGTTGGGATATAAAAGACTGGCTCACGTTATTAAGTAACCTGCAAAATTCTATTTTTGACAGCTGTATTTGTCCTGCTAGTGATAACAGAGCACAAATTAGTCACCCTCTGGTTTTTGAGTTCTCCTTTTGCAAGTATTCAACGTTCAACCTCGGAGGCTGCAAAGATCCAACAAAAGAAATCCTTCAAAACCTAATTTAGCAAATACCATCAAATTTTAAATGGTCTTTTTATGGGTATGCTCCCAGAATTGTATTAAGCTGTTTCTTTATCTTAATTTTTGGTACAGAGATTTTTAAAAAAGGAAACCCGATGTTGCCCTCTTTTTGAAGGCTGAAGTGTGGAGAAGACTGAAGAGTCTCCCCTAAGTCTCAAAGCGCTGAGGCTGTGCCTCCAACATGCTGTTCTCCTTTTCCAGCCAGTTAATCTGGGCTGCTGACCAGTGACTAGATTGTGCAGATCCCAGGATTGCAACATCATGACTAGCAGAGTGGGAGCAGGACCTAGCCAGTATTCTGGAAATTAAGACCAAGAGTGGTTAAGGACATGCTGAAGGTCATACCACTTGTATGTGGCAAGGAGTGTATTAAACCACAGGTCTCCCATTTGAAGTCTTGGGTGACTTCCTATACTTTGCAGCCAAAATCAGGAGGGATTTTCCAATTCATTCAAAATGATTGAACCAAGTCATCTATGTATTTAGACCTTAATTAGAGGCTTTAGATCTGGAGAGCTGGGTTTTAGAATTCTAGGTTTTACATTACGGAAGAATTTCTGACCCAATTAGTTGTTCTGCTAACAAATAAATAGTACTACTCAAAGTGAATCATGTTACAAAATTTAGGCTCAACAAAATAGTTTTGCATGCCCTATCATGCTAATCTCTAAAACTGCAGTCATAAAGATAATATTATAACAGCTCTTAGTTCTGTAAATCTTGCCAGAAATTCTGACCAATAGCAGTGGAATTATAGCTTATAAATCATGGGCAAGGTACCTAACCTTCTTGTGCCTTGTTTTTCTTACCTGGAAACTGGAGATGATCATAGTGTTGTTGTAAGGATTAAACGAATGTACTTATACAAAGCAGCTAGAATGGAAGTGCCCACTAAATGTTTACTATTATTTAGTTGCTATTAACTTGAGATTTCATTATTGACATTTTCTGCATGTAATTGAATATGTAAGTTCAAAGTAATATGCTGATAGGCCATATATTTTTAGTTATTTTATTGGGAAAGATTTTTAATTATAAAAGTAAAATAGCCCTATTGATTTCTCTTCCTTTATACTGCAAATGTTCTTAAATCCTAGCATTAGGTTTGTAAAATTATCTCCATCACTATTTGAGTCTCTGAAAAATATTCTATCTGTAAACTTTTTACATAGCTGTAATAATATGTTACAATTTTCTGTCCTGCAGAATTTTTTAAAATGATTACTTAATGATCGAATGCTATTTAATTTGCAACAGGATTTTAAGATGGATGGAACTCTTTTTGGCCTCTGGCTTGGATATGAAATCAAGTCACTGGACCACCAAGCAGGATGAGGAGGTAGCAAGAAGCTGCTATAATTGTTTTACATTCTTGACAGAACAGCTCCTTCCCGCTCCCCATCTCTGAGTTTAGGAAAGCAGTAAGGGAGTCTGAGAGGGGGTTTTGGAGTCCATTCAGAGATATTTGGAGACCACTGCTGGTGAGTTGTGGATTCTAATCTCCCCAAGTGAAAGGAATTGTGAGGTGCATCTCAATTTATCTGAGGCAGGGGAAATAAGGAAACCACTCAGAGAGCTTGATATGCATCCTCTGTGTTTGGGAACACACTAGGCTGGTGGGTCTAACTCATTCCTGAAATACCTAATGGTGAGAGCAGTGGGTTCTCCTGCTTTGATGTTGGTGAGAAGGAGAGGTGGTTGCTTTGTGGCAACCGCCCCTCCAGGTTTTACTGGTCAGAGAATGTGTGAGTACTTTCGGGGGACTAGAGTTTGGCCACATGGAGGAATCAGGGGTTATCTTCCCTCTTCCCCAGGAGGGCTGCTTAGAGTGTCCAAAAGAGCTCTGCAGAAGGAGTCAGAGGCCCAGGAGAGTGGTGCTAGAGGAGAGCGAAGCCAGGTGAGAGATGCCTAACAATGGAATTAAGGACTTCTCTGATGATCCTGCCTACCTGCTGAGCCCAGAGAGCCCAGTGCTGACATACTGGGTCAAGCACACTCTGCCCCCTCTCCTTTGCTTTGATCCCTTCCTTCTGCCTCAGCTCTGAGTCAGAACGCATAGTTAGCAGACTGGCATGGGAAATTATGCTTCTGAAAGCATAAAAGAACATAGAAATCACCATCTAACTGACATACTTGGGAAAGGAAATAGCTATAACTTTGAAGTTTTTATTACAGTGCACTAGACATATTATTATTTAGTGGAAGATTTTTTTATTACCTAAAAGTTACCAAAAAAGCCATCATACTTGCCCTGAATTTCATTTGGGGGGAAAGGAAGAACTAGTGTTTTGAAAAATATTGAATAATTTACATTGTTTTGTGGCTAATTCTCATAAAGTTCTGCTTGTTGAATGTAATGATTAGATATTCATAGTTTACTTAATAATTTTCTTTTATACACTTAGGTTTGTGATATTGAGGTATTAAAAATAATGCCATGCTAGACAGGTTTATATGTATTCCTATCATTATATTTTGGACCATTAGAGATTTATTTCCAGAAGGCAAACATCCTTATGTATAAATATTAATAAATTGCTTTTCAAAAGGGTTTAAGTGCTTTCTACTACCACTGTTTGCATGAGTGTTTCAGATACAAAGAAGGTTAAAAGAAAAAAAGTTTAAGTATTTTTGGTAACATTTCTAACATAACTAAATGTAGTACCCTTTGTAACAATATGACAAAGGAATATGTAATAAAAGGATGCTATATGTTTTATTGTTATCCAGATGAAATTTGTATTTGTAATAGCATATGGGTTTGGTTAAGTTTGAAAAGTATGTGGGTGAAAGACTACAGCTGGGAATTAAAATACTTTGTCTTACTGTAAAAAGGGCAGCATTATTTCTTCAAGTAGGATCATTAATATGCCTAGTACTAGCTTTCTTTTCTATGTGTCCTAACCTCTCTAAAGGAGGCTTTCATAGAAACAGCAATAATATATAGATAATTCTTAACCAACATCTATGAATAGTCAGTTTTAGGACTTTTTCTTTTTCCTTTTTAAAAATGCTGAACATGGAGAGAAATTATTACAGATCCTAAACTTGGCTGGGTAGGTATTATGAGAAAACATCATGGAATAGCTACGGTGACCAAAGGGTCAGTCCTGGGATCCCACATCCAGAAGTCTTCCTGCATCTGAAGTAGAAAATCTCTCTGGAAACTAAGGCTAGTTCAGGGACAGTTTGTTCTCTGCTGATTCTTGAAACACTAGCATGGTTCTACTTCATAGAAAGCTTTGGGTAGTAAATTCCAATTGCCTTTTCATGTACCAAAGTGGTTTTTTTAAAGCTACGATAGTCTCTATGACCGTGAACGAGGATTCTGCTTTCAAATGACCAGTAAGGTGAAGCTGATAACCCCAGGTAGAAAGAACATCCTCTGCAGGGTCACCTACAACACTGAAATGATGTGACTTCTCCCCCATCCCCGTTCCCCGCCACCCCTCCCCCCCCCGGGGAAGAACATTCATCAAGAGTTACACAGCTGACCTTTCACATTTTGCATCTTAGGACCACGAATATTCCCACCATTCAGTGAATTCAGTGCTGGATCTCAGCAGATGTCACAAGAAGTTCCTACCTGGACCAAGCTATATCCTGTGCGCTGGACCAGTGCTCGGAGAGCTGCTTCCTTCTGGGTGCCGCTCAATCCATCCCCGGATTTGTGATTTGATTCCATTGAGAGTGATTATCAGCAAAAAATCAGGTTAATTAGGGTTGCTCACTGAAACCAAATTTAAGATAAATTAAGTAAATTACTGTTGCCAAACTTGTCCTTCTCATGAAGGGCATCTTTAGGAAACATTCTCTATAAATAAGTCATTAAGGTTAGAGCAACGAACAGCCACACACAAACACGGCTGGTGAAATGTCCTCATTAAAAAAGAGTTTTTTTGAAAAAGGTTCCATTTTAGTTGGAATTTAGAAGTCACAAATGAATAATACCCCTTCTCCAATTAGAACACAGATCAGTAAATCTCAATCCAATTATTTTAGAATGTCACCAAATGCTCAAAACAAATTAGCTCATGTCAATTAAAAATATGCAGAATGGTCCTTGCAGATGTGGGAAGAGAACGTGGTTCCAAACCAACTAGGATAAAGTATTAAGATCCTGAGAGATTGAGCTTTATCTGTCTACTCAATGTGTTACCTAAAATACTTATCTACTTAATCTCCAAAGAGAAATTTCTAGAATAGGGTGTGCTTGTGTTAGCTATATAGGAGTCATCATGCAAACTAGTCTGTGTAATAAAGGTGTCATGTGGGTTTTAACAAAACAACAGATTTTTTTTTTAAAGTGGACCTGGATCATCTATCCCTTAGACCACTCAGGAGAGGACAGGAAGGCCTTTGCAAAAAAATGTAAGAAATTCTAAAAGTTTACATATCTCCATGCTTATGTAGATATGAAGATGCAGTTTCAGCATTTTATCATCTGTGCTTTTTATTTGGGGACATAATTTGAACCCCATTGCAAATGTGATAATTGCTCCTAGTTAGAGGTTCACAGGGCAAGGGTGTGGTCGTCCTGAATGGTCCAGGCCGCGGTGGCATGGGGGCTCGGCAAGCTCCCATGCACTGACCTGCTTGTTTAGTGTCAGGGCTCAGGAAGATTCTGTGCTGGGCTCTCACCCTGCCCACTGGGCTCTGCCAACCAAGACTGAAGAACGGTGTTACACAGTGGTTTGAATCACATGCAGATTGAATGCTTTCAACATAGACCCTTTTAAGACTTTGCTGTGCATTGAGCTTTCCTACACTACATTTGGTGGTCATTTAAAGATTCAGATGAATGGGCCATTACTAGTATAGGAAACGCATAAAAAATTGGGTGAAAAGTAAAGTCATGTCAATAAAAGTTTCAACATATTCTATTAAGGTAATAACTAATAGACAAACTCATAGACAAGCAGCGTCTAGCATTGTCTAGAAAGTAAGACTTCCAATAAAATATAGAGAACAAGAGAAAAAGGAGATTTCAGAGAGACTATTCATCAGTTGTTATAGGGACAGAATAATTTCATGCCTCACATGTAAGCATGGCCATTCCTGCCCTTGATAGTTCTAGTAATTCTTGCCTGTTTCTAACCCCAGCCAATTCCGTCTTTACTCATTCTTTCAAGTAGTATTAAGTCAGAGCTGTGTGCATATCAGCTTCACCCCTCCCAACCCGTTTTGAGGGACGTCTATTAAGTTATCAGTTTCTGTTGCTGTCCTTGGCAAGAGGCAGTGATTTTCTTTCTTTCTTTCTTTCTTTCTTTCTTTCTTTCTTTCTTTCTTTCTTTCTTTCTATTTTTTTCTAATCCTAACTTTATATCTTGGCTAAGACAAATTTGAAACTATTTTTCAGATATTGGTGATTTGATACACATGTAGCATCCAGGTTAGGACACGGAGTTTTACTGAAAACTTTATAGTGTAAATCCTCTTTCTATGGATGCTACAGGGTAGGGGTGAAAGGAAACCTGTATTCAGCTTATTAGGCTAACTGGCTGCTGACTACAGTTCTAGAAATCTCTATGAAACAGTATAAATCCTCTTAAAAAATAAAACTACAAAAGACATTTGGAAGATTTCCAAAGAAACTAGCCTTTAGGACAACATGTAACTCTTGCACTTTCCCCAAATGTTGCTAAAATTGTCTTTTCAACAGGACATTCTCAACCGCCCCCCTGCCCCGCCCCTGTACTGGATTTAACCCCACAAAAGCAGGGAGGCCACCAGTGGACTGGAGTCTGGTGAGGTTAGTCATGTTGGTCATTGTGTGTCTTCCAGATGTTTGAAGGCAAAGTCTATTGTTTTTTTGGCCAAGTTGTAGATTTGCTCTTTGCTGAGCTTCATCTTTTCCATCAAAACATAACAGTTCATGGTGAAATGACAAGTTTTATTTGCAAGGCCTACCTTCAGTTTTGGTTAATGATTAGTAAAGGTAACTGAAGACACTTTTACGTCAGAAAGGTCTTTTGATCACAGAAACTCACTCAGACATCGCTGAGAAAATCTCTATAACATCTTGACATAGCGTCAAGTCCGTAGAAATCAGGGCATAGAAATAAAATTCAGAATTTGCTATAAGAGACACCTCATCTTCAATGTTTATTTCTCAGAAGCAATCTCCTCTCCCAACACTGATCTAATCTGAGGGATGAACTTGGATCCCAGATAAATATTTTTTTTAAGCAAGTCACACTTCTCTTAAATTTGTTCAGTTTGGAAGAAAGATTGTGCAATACATTTTCTAATTTAATATCCCATAATTGTTCAGATCCCAGACCACTGCATTTTGGAAGAGTAGTTCCCAGTGTAATTTATGGAGGTAGTAGGATTCAAAACTGATACAAAGTAGGCATTAGGAACATTGGCGCCAAAGGAGAACACTCAGGAGTTGTAAGTATATGAATATACTTCTCAGTAAGTATCACTTAGTCATTAAGAAATGTACTGAGTACCTACTGTCATTCAAGAATTTTTTGACACTAGGAAAATAGCAGAGAACAAAACAAATCCCTCTCCCCCCAAAATTTCACAGAGTTTTCTAGTGGGTGAGAGAGAGCCATAAACAAGTGAAATATGCAGGTGCTAAGGATAGTTTCTGAGGAGAAAAAAATAGAGATAAGGAATATGAAGTGTGTGGGTGGGAGGAGGGAGTGAAATGTTAGACGGTGTGATCCCGATGGGTGGATTTGTGAGGAGACCTGGTGACGTAAGGGATGTGTCTGGAGGAGACCATTCTGGGCAAAGAGCCAGCAAGCATGAGGGCCCTGAGGTGGGAGCTTCCTGATGGAAGAGGGAGCAGGCCTGTGTGGAGGGGATCGGGTTGAGGGAACGAGGTCAGAAGTGGGAGTTATCAGAGAGATAATGGTGGCCCAGGCCATAAAGGATCTTGCAGATCACGGTGAGGATTTTGGTTTTTGCTCTGATATGGGAGGCCAGAGGATCAACAAGATTTTTAACGGGATCCCTCTAACACTGAAGAGAGTTGGGGCAGGGCCGGGATGGAGGGGAGTGATGCCAACACTCTCGTCCTGTTTTCATGAAAGAGTTTGTGATTTTGTTCATTAGGATATTTTTGTCATGGATTCTGATTTGAAAAAATATGGCATGAAAACACCACTTGTTTTGATTCCTGAGTTTTTTGATGCTCCTACATGTTGCATTCGAGGCAGGGTTTCACTCACCTCTGACCTCACTCTGGTCCGCAGACAGCTCACGGGGTGAAGGAGGGAGACCAGTCAGAAACCATTGCACCTTCTGGGCAAGAGGGAGCAGTGGTGGGCCAGGGTGGTGAAGAATGGATATCTGTACTGGATGTACTGGATGCATCATGAGGGAAAAAAAATGAGGAGTCAAGGATGACATCCAGTTTTCTGGCCTGGGCAACTAGAAGAATAGAACTGCTATTAGCTGAGTTGGGGAAGAGCAAATTTGGGGAAGAGCAGGAGCTCTGCTGTTGGCATGCTGATTTTGAGATGCCCAGTAAATAGCCACATGGAGAGGCTGAGTGGACAGTTGGATCCACGAGCTGAAATTTCCTGAGAGAGTTCCAGGCAGGAGATATGATCTGGGCCTCTGGGAAGCTCTCTGCCTAGAGATGATATTGAAACTGTGAAATTGGGTGAGATCATCTATGAGCTGCGTGTAGAAAGTAGGTCCAAGGACTGATCTCTGGGGCACTCCAACTCTTGGAAGTCAGGGAGATAAGGAGGAACCCATAAAGGAGAATGAGCCGGAACAGCCAGAAAGGCAGGAGGAGAATCAGGAGGAGGAGGTGGATGGAAAGCCAAGTAAAGAAAGGATGTTGAGAACAAATGAGTGATGAGATGGGCACGTCCTATCACGTCAAGTAAGAGGAAGCCTGAATAGGGATGTAGATATTTGGATTCAAATCCTCGTTCTGCCTCTGACTGTGTGCCCAGAAGGTTCCTTAACCTCTTGGCATCCTTGCATCCTCAACTCAGGAAGCAGTAGTATTTCTCTCAGGGTTGTTGTATTATGTAAATAAATGTGTTGAAAGAGCTTTCAACCCTCCCCCACTCTCCCCCCCACCGCCACTTCTGGAAGAGGCAGGACCCTGCACAGGTCCCTTCCCTTCTCCCTCCTCCTTGTATTCCATCTGAAAACAGGGTGAGGGAGGGGCTCACGATCCAGAAAAGTGGAGGACTCTTCTAGGTCTGCCAAATTTCTCTCCTCTGCCATTGATGTGTCCTGGTCCTTCTTGTGTTTTCTGAGCAAAGGGATACTTGGTTCAAAGGGATGCTCATCAGCAAACCTGCTGTATAAAGATGTTCCCCTCTTCTGTTCCTCTGCCTCCAGTCATTCTAGCGGAGACTCTGAGTCTCCATTTCCTTACGTATAAAGCATGAGGATAATAATAGTTCCTACTTCACAGGGTTGTTTTAAGGATTAAACATGAAGAGATTGAAAATACTTAAAGCCGTTCCTGGCATTTGATAACTGCCCAATGAGGGTTACCTATTAGATTATTTTACTTCTTATTGTAATTAATCTCTAATTCCAAGGGGTAAAATTTCAAAATCAGTTTCTGGGAAGGTAAAGTCTCACATGTTTAGCACGACACATCGTCCCTCCAGGACTAGACATCGTCCCTCCAGGACTAGA